TCCTCCTGTCACGCTGTTCGTCTCCCTGGTACCTAAGGCCCTGAGCTTGCTGCCTGTTTACATCTGTCTCCCACTGGAACGTAAACTCCAGGAGGTAGAGAAATGGTTTTGAATGAATAACTTTTATAAGTCAGGAGAAGGTTGATTTCACAGTGAAATATTTGTGGCATGACTCACCAAGTTACTGAAGCCAATTACACTCAGGGCTTGTTTCAAAACAGCAAATCTCTCCCTGTTCAGAGAATGCTCTGCTGTTGATACATCATCTCGAAAGGTCTGGTTCAAATACCTGCAAGGAGGAAGAGCACAGAGCTTTACGGCTGGGCGTGTGGCCAAACTCCGGTGGTTAAGTCACTCCAGCCATATTTGGTCCCCAGATTGATGGTGATCACTTGGACACTGTGTACCCATGTGTTTACAAGGCCCTGGTACATAACAGCTCATGATGTTTCAGGAAGGGGAGAAAAGTTCCTGTTGTACCAGGACATACTGACACTGTTTTGCCTGTTCTCACTTCAGCTGCGCCCTGCGCAGGCGAAGGTCACCAGTGCTGCCCGTCTTCCGTGGAGAAATCTGGCAGGTTCCATGGCGTGCTTTGTAATTAATATCTGCATTAAAGATTTTTCACTTAGAGTCATTTATTATTTCTTCTTGTCAATACCTTTTCATTACAAGGTGGCTGATTAATTCATTGATTTATCCCTTTCATTCAACAAACACGCAGGAATCACGCACCGCACACACAATACTTCCAGCTGAAGTTATTAAGATGCAAGAGTGCATCCCTGGGGCTCAGCAACGAACACAGTGCTCCCAGAGCAGAGGCGAGGGAAGCACGCCGCCGCACAACCCAGGAGCAGAGAAAAGAGACCCACCCAGCCTGCTTGGAGGAGGGGAGGAGGGGCAAGGAGGGAAGGGTCCAAGAGCTGACACTCGAGTAAGGGGTTGCCAAGCAAATTCAAGACCAAGGGTGTCCCTGGAGTGACCAGCAATACACACAGAGGCACCGGGATGGAGCAGGTGCGAGGTACGGGGGGACTCGGGGGTGTCCACAAAATTGGAGCCTCCGGGGAGAGGAGCAGAGGGTCAGGAGGTCACACATGTAGTTCTGTGTATCTTGCAAGAGTTCCCAGGGTGTCTTGGAAGGAACGGGTGGTCCCGAAGTCCTTGCAATAAAGAAAGGGCAGGAACAGATTGGTGTTTCAGAAGGAACATTCTGGTAGCCCAGTGAAAGAGTCCCTGGAAGGAGATGAGGCAACGAAATGAGCTCAGGGGTCCAGCGTGGAGAAGATGGGACAGGACGGAGGGGGAGGCAGGACGGCCGGGCTGGCTGGACGCAGGCGCGGAGAACAGAGGGGCGTGACCTGTGCTCTTCGAGCTTCTTTCTGGGGAAACGAGGTGGACGGTGGCCTCGCTCAAGAGGAGAATCATGTTTCTGAGAGAAAGACTTCTATTTTGTCACAGTCATGTTCCCTTTGAGCTACTTGGTAAAGTTTAAGCAGCAGCCCAAGAAATAATTGAGCATAAGCATCTGAAACTCAGAGAAGACCAGAAAAGGCCTGGCAGTCATTGGCGTGCGGAGGACTAAAACCAGGCGGCGGACGAGCTCACGGGAGGAGACGCTGATGGGGATGAAGGAAGGAGACCCTGGGAAGGAGGGGGCGGGGTCTGGGAGGACCTCTTTGTCCTGGACCTCGGCTGCGCGGGGTCGCCCAGCCCTCAGGAGGCTCAGGAGCTGAGGCACATGAAGACTGGATCAAAGACTCAAAGAAAAAGGTGTGGGGTCTGAAGAGAAGGAAAGAAGAGGGTCTGGAATCGGAGTTCAGAGGAGGGACCCCACCTTCTCCACATGCGGATGAGGTGGTAGATGTGGTCCAGGGGCCAGAAGTGTCTCCAGGCACCGAGGAACCACCACTGGTGGCTTCAGAAAGCAGGCAAGGTTGAGGACAAGGGGAAGATGGCTTGAGGAAGGGCATGAGAACTCGGATACTTGCTGCTGAGAAGGGACACTGTCCCTAAGCAGTGGGACACCGGAGGCTGAGCGGATGCAGCGGGCACCAGGTGGAGCTGAAGACCAGCTCCTGTGGGGCTGTCTCCTTCCCCAGAGGGCGAGGGAGCTGGGGTCGGGACAGTGGAACAAAAGGAAACCGTCAAGGGCAGCCAAATTGTCAAGGGACCGGGTTACGATGGTCAGAGTCATCTTGCCTCAAATTCACAAAGTTCTGACTGATGGCTTTTGACTTCGTCACCTATTAATTAATGGCCCCACAATTCCCAACTCCCAGTGTTCAGACCTTAGAGCTCCCCAGTCACCGTCTTATGTTATCACTTTTACATCTCAAAATCATATACTTACAGCTCAAACAATCTGGTTTTTTTTTATCATCTCCTTTTAACTCACACATAACTCGAACAGCAACGTCTGGCAACGTCCATGTCCAGAGCCAGAAACATCAGAGAGTCACTGCTATTTGCTTTTAAAATATTGACAGATCAAGGGAACGGTCCAGATGTTTCCACCAAGGGGAAGAAGGATGCGACGTGTAGAATGTTAAAAATCTTAGGCAGATTAATCCTGTTTGACTAATTCTACTCAAAGGAAAGGGCGGTGGGAAGTAACACCTTGTGTCAAATCCTCGACTGGGTGTTTCAGAAGCACTTCCCAGCCGGTCCTCACGTCGACCTGAGAAGCAGAGCTGCTCTTGTGCCCTTGTAGGAGACATGGGAACGGAAGCTTGTTGAAGATCTCCAAGCCAGCAACTGGCCAACTGCTACACCTTGTCCGACCCCCACCCCTCCCCCTTGTAACTCGGTCACCAGTTTCA